CAAAAATTTCAAAAATTTTATGAGGCTTTCCCTCATAAAACTTTACTTTCAAGTCAAAATTTCATATGATTTGATCAAACTAACTTTCTCATTTATAGTTTTTTTAACTACTAAAATAATGAAAATGTCATTTTTATCAAAAAAAAATTATGAAAATTGATGTGTAGAGCCTCCCCTCAACTATCCCAACCACCGGTAAAAATTCCATTCCCAAATTTCAAAATGAGGGCTTCTCCAACAACTCCCAAAATGCCACTAGCCTAGTCTAAGCAAAAAAATTTAAGAAAACAGAAAATTAAGCAATCTTCCTTAGTCTTGAAGTTGCATGAAAATATTACCATTTACTACGTCTCAACTGAATGTCCACCCCCACCACACCTCTCCCCAACATGTTTCGGGGTGAGATTAAACTTACTAAGACAAATTTAAATTAACACACAAGCAAAATGGAGATAAACTACAACCCATTACCAAATGTTCCAAAATTTTCTATCCATTACAAATGTAAGCTCTCTAACCTCTTCTATATAAGGTTAAACTACACATCCAAAATGAGGTTAACAAACTACGAACACACATAAAAAATGCTAAATCATATCCAAATACCCAAAATCAAACATTCACAATACCATTCATTTGGGATGACGCTAAATTGCATCCCTGCTATGAGATTTGCTGACATCCTCAATTAGATCCCTCATATGTAGACAAGAATGATGTTCCCATTAACATATGAATGCCCCGATCCACATATGAATACCAAAACAGATATATAAACCCTCCTTAATCCCTCAAAATAATTATAAACTAAAACTCCATAGCTAAAATGCTCCTGAAATGTCCCGCTACTTCAAATCCTATTCTCAATGGTGCCTATCCCAAACCTCCATACTTGATTCAACCATGAAATTAATCTCTCCCACCCAACTCACTAAGAATCCATGCTAGCACAATTAGGCACGATTGATCAAAAGAAGGTCATATGCTCCAAAAAATGCTAATTCACTAGATCATCAAATTATTCCAATCCCTAATAGTCACTATATCAATCGACTAGTGAACCCTAACGCTTTCTCTAGTAATCATATCTATTCCCAATAGATTTAACTTTTCGATACACTAGTCAAATCCAAGTATAATTATCTCTAATGAAGCCCACTCTAAATCCATCTAAGAGCTATCCAAAACTCAATATCCCTAAGGAGTCACTCTTTTAAGCAATCAAAAACCCAAAAAATCACTAATGAAATATGCTCAAGGCTAGCAACTCGAATTAAATGCAAGCTTGTAAAGGAACGGTTTTTTTTTATGTCGAAGCTATCAAACTCAAATATTGAAATGAATACTCAGAAAGACTAGTTAATTATGCAAGATCATCGGTTTAAAATTTTAAAATCGCTTTTATTATCTTTCAAAAGATTATTTCCTTTTATTGTTTTATTATATGTCAAATCCACCTATTAATAAAAAAAGATTGAAAAGAAACAATCGAAATCTACAACCACATGAATGATTCAAAAATTACACGTAAATTGATGTCTCTCTCCCATGTTTTAGAAAACATTAAGAGGTTGTTTGATTTGCTAAAAAGGAAATGCAGTGTAAAATGAATGCAATACGGAAGTAATATATTGTATTTGGAATATTTTGGAATTGTTTGGTTCAGTATAAAATAAATGTACGACTTAATATTTTTTATTTGTTTTGAATAGAATAAAAACAATGTACTTCAAATTATGTGAAGTCTTATATAAATTACTAGATGCCAGGGCCAACGGTGGCTAGTAGTGAGCCGGTCAGTGAGCGGCGACCAGTAGTGAGATGGTCAGCGGGCGGTGCCAAAAATAATTGGAAGTAGATCATAGCACTTTACACATGGTCGTGTATTTAGAATTTAACCAAATCCAACGAATTTCAAATGCAGAGAAAATGATCTAGGAAATGATTTCTAAATTCATTCTTATTTTAGATTGTATTTGCAATTTTTCCAACCAAACACTTGAATAATTAAAACCCTGCAAAAGGAATGCAATGCACTCTTTTTGCAGGCAACCAAATAACCTTCCAAATCCTCTAATTTTCTCTCTCATCTTTTAGCAGACTTTAAATCCCTAATTTTTCTTTATGATCTTACCCTTGTTTGTGCTAATCTGATATAAAGTCAACCAAAGAAGCAATTATAGAAAATAAAAAATAATTATATTACTCCAAAAAACAACAAAAAAAGGGATGAAATTCATCAATTAATCGCACATAGAGGTTTCAGTAAATTAGGGAAGGAAAGAAATCACATGAAATTGCAGATACCTACAACATAGAAAAGCTACCCAAAATAGCTATAAGAAAATGGTGGAATGAGTGCTTAAGAAAAGAGGAATTCTAATTGATGGAGAATAACAGCTGGATCAATTATACAAAACAACAACAACAAGAAGCCTTTATCCCACTAAGTAGATTCGACTACATGAATCATTTTTTCTCCATTGTGTCCTATTGAGCATCATATTTTCATTTAATTCTAATAGATTAAGATCTTTTTTTATACAATATGCTCAAGTCTCTTAGGTCTACCTTTGTCTTTCTTAATATAAGTTGAAGAAAAAACATTGACTCTCCTAATCGGATTATCTGACGGTCGACGTTTAATGCGACCAGACCATCTAAGATGATATATTCTACATCAACTCTTTCACGGATAGATTTGTTTCGTAGTTTGTCTCTAAGTGTCAAGCAACTCGTCCACCTAGGCATTCTCACTTCAACAACAATTAACTTTATTTTATGCTTCTTTTTTAAAGGCCAACATCCTGCGCCATAAAGCATTGCAGGTCTCACCACCCTCTTTAAATCTAAGCAGTAATTTTCGATCACACAATACGTCTGATGCATTCCTCCACTTCCGACCAACGAATCTAAATTCTACTAATAACATCCCCCATCAATATCACAATCACTTTGAACAATATACCAGAGATATCTAAAACGATCACACATTTAAATGATTTAATCACTCATAAATACAACTTTGCCACTAGAGCTACTAATACTAAAATCGCATTCCATGTATTTAATTTTATATCTACTCAAAAAAAGTCCTTTAGACTCCACTATAGACCTCCATAATTCAAGTTTTTTTCTGAACTCCTTCTCTAGTCATATCCATAATAAGAATATCATCAGCAAAAATCATATACCAAGCTACATCCTCTTGTATATGTCTAGTAAGGGCATACATAACTAAAACAAAAAGATAAGGGCTAAAAGCTGGTCCTTGACATAATCCAACTGAAATAGGAAAACACTTAGTCAGTTTTTCTGATCGAACACAAGTAAAAGCTCTAGTATACGTATCTTTAATGGCTTGAATATAAGTCACATCAACACTTTTTTTTTCTAGAACTCTTCAAAGAACTTCTCCTGGGACCTTATCGCAAGTTTTTTCTAAATCAATAAAAATCATATCTAGATCCTCCTCACTTTCTTTGTACTTCTCCATCAAACCGCTCAATAAATGTATAGCTTCCATAGTAGACTCGCCCAACATAAATCCAAACTAATTATGAGAAATCTTTGTATCATGTCTCAATCTATATTCAATTACCCTCTCTCATAATTTTAAATTATGCACATTAACTTAATTCCTCTATAGTTTGCACCTCTTTTCTAAATCAATAAAAATCATATCTAGATCCTCCTCACTTTCTTTGTACTTCTCCATCAAACCGCTCAATAAATGTATAGCTTCCATAGTAGACTCGCCCAACATAAATCCAAACTAATTATGAGAAATCTTTGTATCATGTCTCAATCTATATTCAATTACCCTCTCTCATAATTTTAAATTATGCACATTAACTTAATTCCTCTATAGTTTGCACCTCTTGCATCTCCTTTATTCTTAAAAATGGGGACTAAAATACTCTTCTTCCACTCCTCGGACACCTTTTTAATTTTTAAAATAATATTAAAGAGTTTGGTAAGCCAATAAACCCTCAAATCTCCTAGATATTTTCACACTTCAATAAGGATATCATCAGGTCCTACTGATTTTCCACCATTAATTTTCTTTAAAGCCTCCCCATCTTCCTTTCTACTAATATGATGGTAAAAATAAAAAGTTTTATTATTATTAACAAATATTATGATCACTAAGGTTGATAGTATTTTCAAAAACTTCATTGAAAAATTTATTACAATAGCTAACCCACCTATGTTGAATATCTCTAAGAAAAACACTCTTTGATTATCATCTTTAATACATTTTACTTGAATTAAATCTTTACTTTTATTTTCTCTTCGTTTGGCTAGTTTATATCTTTAGTACCTAACATATTATAAATATCACTAAAAACAGAATTTTGAGCGTCACAAATTGTTCTCTTATGACTTCCTACAGGTCACCATATATTTTTCCAAGTTCTTTAAGCTTTTACATTTAAATCAATTTTTATGATACTTCCTATAATTTATCTTTTTTGACACATTATTATTTCACCCCAACTATTTTAATTTATAATTTTTTTTTTGGATTCTTCAAGTAAATCTTTTGTCACGTGTTTAAAAGTGCTTGTTACTTTAGCAAAAATAGAATTAGCTGCTTCTTGAACATCCCAAATGATTTAGTTGATTTGGTTGATATACTTTCACCATATCTAAGCATTATGGTTGAAACTCTCATAGAAATGTTCATAAAACACCACGTTCAAACTTATCTCTCTATTGCATAAGATATCTCATAGTGAGCACGATTTCTTGCATAGCATCAGGCACAAGTTTAGTATATGTATGTAAATGCCCCAAAAATAAAATGCACCATGACAGTGTGATAGTAATGGAAATTTATGGAACAATTACGATTGCAACTTTAAATAGTTAAAACTAATAAAAACATGCTCAAACCAGCTTTCTTGATTCATTTATATGCAATGGAGGTATACAAATAAAAAGAAACTTATGATGTGCCAAAATAACAAAAGAAATCCACCAAAATCTTCGCATACCACATTTTTAGGAATTGATGGCATTACAGGTCGTAGTTTCAAAATTTGCAGACGATGTAATTCTTCAATCTTCTGTGAGTCACTTGGCAGCTGCAACAAAAGTATATAAGAACGGATCAATGGTTCTTGTTGACATAAAAATATAATTGCCAAATTACCTGGGATGATGTATGGACTCGGGCTGGGGCCATAGCCACTGTTTCAGCCATATTTAAGCTAGAAGAAGGGCTTGAAACCATAGTCAGTTCAGGACAAGTTGGTAGGGAAGAAGAAGCTACTGGACCATTTCCTCCAGCTATAGGAAGTACTTCTGCCAAATTTGATTTCCATCCATCACCTCCATTGATAGTTGCTGCAGCCACTGGAAGCTTAAGAATGGCAGTGCTCAGACAAGGAGAAGCAACCCTGGTTACATCAAATCGGACAAGCTTTTCTTCAGCTCCAAGGGATGGGAAGTCTCTCTTAAAGGAAGATTTAAGCCAAGACTTCCCACTTCCTGATACCATAGAATGAGAGTGCCGAGAGGACTCTTTCTCTAATTTGTTAGTTGACAATGAATCAGAATTGTTTAAGAAGCCATTGTCCTCCAAAAGTGGTCTATTTCTGTCATAGAGTTCAAGATCCTTCTCTTGATCCCTATTCCTATCACGATAGTTTCTGCCAAAATTACCATAAGCCCGTAAAGAAAGGTCCTCCCTTCCAATGGAAACATTATTATTCGCACTTCTATTTAAAGAAGAGGAGGTTCTTTCTGTAAAAGACAAAGAACCAAGAGCACCATGTTCAAAAAAACTAATTGGAAATCTGTTCCTCGATGAGAACACATTATTGATTTCATCTTCTTCTAAAGTAACATATAAAGAAAGTAAAATGTAACAAATCAAAAGGGAAACCAAAGGGAAGACATAGTACCAGAATGTGAGAACCCACGAAGGTGGTTCAAATTGCTGCCGCTTGCCCCTCTGTACCACTCTGGAACAAGGCTCGGCTCACTTCGCACCATTGCAGATAAGGATCACCATCTAACACCAAATTTAACAGAAACCAATGATGTCTGTCTTATCAAACAATTAACATCAAAAGTAGGATCAACCAACAATTTCTTCTGTAAAGTATTAATTGTCAGAAGCCACTTCTAACCATAAACTGTTTGGAAATGGCTAAAAAAACATAATCAACAAGGTAACGTTGAACTCCCTTCTCAAAATACTGACTATCGCAGAGTAAAATGTCATCAGCAATGGCTACAACATTAAAATGTCCAAAATTCTAAGAAGCCCTAGAATCCCCTCCACGCAAGAAAGAATACCGCAGGATTAATAGCTCCTCAAAACTTGAAATTTATAAAACAAGGTCGCAATCCTTCGACCTTCATCATCACTAATGAGTGCAGAACAAGTAACGTGCCCTCAAAAGACCATCATCTCCAAATTCACCGAGAATCCAAACATAGCTCGTAAGAAACAAAAATAGTTCAATCCGAAATGGTCCAAATTCCAGAAGGGCTTAACAAAGCAATATTACAAAACCAATAAATCAATTTTTTGTGAGATTAGATTACAGAACAGTCAGCACCGCCAGCACAAGAAAAAGAGGGAGACGAGACAACTCTCCCCTTAATGCGATGCAAAGGGCTAGGTCACAAGTCCGAAATCCTAATCCTTTCTAGATGCCATGTTGCTTCAGAAGAAGCACAAGTAAAGGACCATAGAATGAAAGCCACCAAAGGCGCAGATGGGAGAAAAAATTTCTTCAGCACTTTCTTCTTCTCTGCCTGAAACCCTCTCGCTATCTCCAATAATCGATCTCTTTCACTTCTTATACAGTTTTCTCACTCCCCTTAGCGATTTGGGATCAAAATTCTGTCTCGATTTACACGGTCATATTCATCCCATACTTATGAACGCCCATGTGGTTAGGGTTTCGGCGAAGAGGCGGTTCAACACAGGATGGAGGGAAACGGCAACAGAGAAAGTTATCGTTCAATTGTCGTTTGATTTTTACTCGACTAAATTTTAATTTTTATCTAAATATTTAATATTCTATATATAGATTTAGGTGGCTCTTCAGTTTTTTATATAGATATATTATTATAAAATTCTTATTCTTACCTATCAAGAAGCTAAATTATCTCTGTGTGCATTAGTCTTAAAGTTATAATAAAATATTATATAATTATGTGTGGAAGATTCTTAATCATTCATTTAAATATGATATGTATTCATATGTAGACTTTTCTTAATCTTTCATATGAGCATATCATGTCATATTTAAGAACCTAATTAAATTTCATTTGAATATCCATATATTTCAGTTGCCCGTCACTTAGGATCGTGATCGAGTTTGGGTCCGAATTTAACGAAGTCGAGGAGATACCTGGCAAAGCACCCCACGTCGTAATGAAAATGACTGCCACAAAATTTCAAGGGTTGTCAACTAATTTTGACCTGAAGTGTAGTCAAGAATTCCCTTTATCACAAAAAGGTAAGGGTTGAGAACATGCCTGTTAGGTCTATCATTCATGTTGCCGCCAAGTCTGTCACAGCTACTACTACCGAGCTTATTGTTATGGTCCCCACTGTCGCACCGTCGTTGTCAAAGGGAAAATAGATTACGTATCAAGGTGAACCGACGTCTGCCTTCACCTCAATGTCGTCTGTATTTGAAATTGGATTCATTTCAAGGTTTGTGCCGCTCATCCAAGCATAAAGGAGAAATAGGAGCTTGAGAGCTCTTAAAGGAAAAAAGCATGAAAACTGACAAAATAATTCCTTATGCTAAAATCTCTCTCTAAAGGATAATGTGACTACATGCGACCTCACCTCTTCTCAGAGGGAGTGGGTTTAATCCCCTGTCTGCCACCACCAGAGAGAAGAATGCTTAAAAGATTGTTGCCACACCACCTCAGTCACCCCCTCAACATGATCTTGTAAGGCAAGGGTAAAGTCTACGTTCATTATGCTAGCCCGTTTCATTTTTGAGGGTTGGCTCACAAGGAAAACTGTTTAGTTGCGAAAATTTTGAAGAAGATGGGATACAGTGTGTCGTATCAGATGAAAAGGCAGATATCGGAAAAGGACAAGTTCGTCCTGTTATCTCATAGACCTATCAGGAGAGCAGAGGAAGTATTATTGACACACATTTTTGCGAAGATCTGTCTAGGAGACCGTATTGTTCCTACTTCCACTGTCGCCCATGCTGCTACCACTTTTTCGAAACTCATGGTAAGTGTACAAACATAATAGCTCTATCACCAAATGGTGATAAGAAACTACTCAGTAGTGTATCCTGTTCACGTGATAAGGAGCATAATTCCTCCCGACGTGTTAATGTAGCCAACAAGACAGCCCGTCTTAAAACATCAATGTGAAAGAAGGAAGTATGGATATCTAAGGTAACTAGACCGATACCTTGGAAGTTAAAAGACAAGATCTCTAAAGAGAATTCTAAGTTCAATGCTTTGACTATTTGTACTGCAATTACACCATAACCTTTCACAGGAGGAGGCGTTCGTCAGAAGCCTCTGATTGAACTTAAAGTTATTAAAGGAAAGTCAATCAAGGTTGCTCTGGAGAAACTCTAGGCCAACATCAAACAACTGTCTAAAGAGCAAGGAGAAAGATTTGAAGACGAAGACTATGGCCTAATGGATTACATAGACGAAGATCTTGTTGAGGTTAATGTTGTTGAAACTAGAGCCTCGTCATATTTGCAAGAAGATCTGTCGCCTGCTGAGAATGAGACTGCTGAGATAGCACAAAGGGTCATTCAACAAAAGGATAAACAGATCAGCCGCATGGAGAAAAGGATGGAAGAGATAATGGTCGTTATGACAACTCTACAGAGTCAGTGTCAGTCTCCGAAAATAACTTTTGCTGAAGCAAACTGGCCAGAAGTCATTCAAATTGCAAACAAAAAGAAATAATTCACCTCTGTCAGTAGAGAAGAATGAGCAAATAAGGATTCTGTCTAGGGCATGATACCACTTTTGAGAAGTTACTCAACAAGATCAGAAGTCTTCAAGAAGAAGCTAAACAACTTGGTATTCTAGAGAAAGCCAAAACTAGCAAATCTGTGAGAAGAAGTTTGTGACTGTGACAGCGGTGGACAGGGGAAAGTTGCCAGTGCATATACAAGCAGAGCTACCAGCCCTCTCAACACTACGGTCAACAGTCGTTTCAACAAAGGCCATATCAGAAAAACGGAAGGCCGCCTTTGACAATGAAAAACAATTAAGCAAAGTATATCATTTCAACAATGATTCAGCGGGAAAGATGCTCCGCAATTTGATAAAAAACCAATTTTCAAGTTGTTAGAGCCGATAAAGCAAGAGGAAGTTGACAAGAAAGATCACCCAAAGTACTGCCTATACCATAGATCAATCAGACACAACATAGAGTCTGCATAACCGTCAACTGAGTTCAATCTAATGACAGCTTCGGAACTTATGTCACTTGACAGGGTCATGAAAGAAGGAGAACCCACTGTCTTCAAGCATACAATGAAGTCAATTGAAGTCTTTCTCGTGGCTTTCAACTGCACTCTTCCAAAGAGGAAGTATTCTCAAGAGATGTGGGGATTATATGTAGAGGAAAAAGGATATTAATAAAAGAAAACATCAAAAGATATAGAAATTAAATATTGACTTATTGTAACTCAACGAGAGAGTTAAAACACCTCCATTACTCGCATTTGAGGTCAAGGGAGGGGATGGGGAGGAGGGAGATGAAATCTGATCGTTAAAATAGAGAATAAAACTATGGAGGCCATCAAGTTCAGAAATGAGTTTGTCATTGAAAAGAAAGTTAGACTTTCTGAGACCTCCTCCCTATTAAGGGACGATAGGTTTCATTTTTTGACTGCTACCGCTGGTGAAAAAAGACATCAACAGGATAACTGTTAGTTTATCCCAAGTCTCCCACCACAATAAAAATAAGGCAACGAAAAGGAACTTGTTGTTGTATATAGTTCATTTAGTGTTCAAAAAGCTCATCGAAAAGGAGCAATGTTCTGCTGCACAAGTTCTACAGATAATTTCACATTAAATGAAGAAGAAAATTTTGGAAAAGGGAAAACTAGTTCAAATGTTCAAAGCTTATCAGAAGGACAATCAAGAGAGGGTTGACTCATGATAAAAGTTCTGGTGTGTTAATAAGATAATGAGTAAAGAGAAAAAGAAAATTAATAACTTACTAATTAGGTTCTTCACTTTAAAGAATTTTGACTTGATCCTAAGTAAATTTCATTATAAAATAGTGTGATTAAAATAGAAGTAATTGATTAAGGACATTTCGAGCCTTTTAATTTTTCTACCAAATATTTGAGTCTTGACTTTTAAATAAGTTATAATATCTCGGAATTCATATTTTAAAAATATTTGAGAATTACTAATTAAGAAAGTTTAGATATTCAAAACCTTTAAAAGAAATGTGCTCTACCATATATAGTAATTCTCAATGAAAAAAAAGAAAAAAAATGAAAGTAAATTAAGTGAAAGGCTTGATTAAAAAAAAAATGAAGAAGAAAAGCAGCCTTCGTGAGAAAAAGCTTGAGGTGAGTATAAAATAAAAAATTAGTGTATGAGTTCTCTCTTGATTAATAAAACTTGAAAATCCCCATTAAAAAAATTCTTGTGGTATTATATTCAGGAAAAGTTAAGGGATCATAATTTCTTTGGTTGGTTATTAACTAGGTTAAAACTATCTTTGGGTTGAAGAAATAAAAAAATATTTTAATTTTTTGGTTAAGTGTTTCGAAATCTACTTAGACCCAAAAAAGGAGAATTAAAGAAAAGGGTTATATTATTAGCAATTAGTAAAAATTAAAGCATGAAGTCACATTTTTCATGCCCCATAAAATTCGACTCTAATTTCGATTCAAGAACGTCATAGTATTTTTTGAGACAATATGGATAATTGGTACAAAATTGATGTTGAAGAAATAACATCTACCAAAATGGAGCTATAGAGTTGCGAGGTGTTTACAAAAAGCACATCTTGATGTGTACTTGAAGAAATATAGTTCTGATAGTACCTTAAAGAATGTGTTATTTTTACATGCACTCTCAATCATGGATGATATCTCAAGAAGTACTACACATCGTGATATTTTAAAGAATAAATTTTAGCAATAAAATATTATTTTTATAAACACCGATGCCACACTTGTTTGAAACAGAGTCCAAATCCTAAATAAAGGCAATGCAAAAAAAAATCACAAAACTTAAATCAAATTAAATAAATAAAAAAATCAAATCATAACAAATTATAATGAGATAAAAAATGAAAGAAATAAATAAAACAAATAACGAAAACGAAACAAATGAATAAAATAAAATAAACAAATAACTGGTTTAAGGATATATAGTAGCAGTAGACCACATAGGTCATAGTTAGAAGTTGTAACAATAACAGTTGTTCACATTAGTTGTTGTTGAAAGTTGTAACAGTAGTAGTTGGTCACAAATGTCGTAGTTGATGACTAAGTAATGTCAGTTAACCATAAATGTTGTAGTTGGTAACTTCAATAGTGTCAGTTAGCCATAAAGATCGTAGCTAGTGACTGCAATTGTGTTAGTTGGTCATATATTTTTATTTGGAGGTTGAAACATTAGTAGTTAGTCGCAAAACCCATAGGTGGTTGTTGTATAGACAATAGGCCGCCACAAAGATCGTGGTTGAAAGCTGCAATGTTGTTATTTGGTCATAAAATTTGTAGTCGATGACCTCATTATGTTAACTAACCACAAAGATGGTGTTAGAAATATTAATTGTAGTAATTGGTCATATATATTGTAGTTGGGGATTGTAATAGTTTTAGTTGACCACAAATGTTGTAGTTTAAATATGTAGTAGTTGTTACATATGACGTAATGAGTATTACAATAGTGTCATTGGTTAAATGTCGTAGTTCAAAGTCATAGTAACAACTAGCTGTATGAGCCATAGTCGGCGACTGAACGCCTTCTCTTTAAATGGGGTTATAGTTTTACT